TTATATAATCTATGTAAAAAGTTAATAGATGTTGTAAATACCAAGTGACGATGGTCAGGATCATGTATGAATCCAAGTAATAAATGTCCTACGTTGTGGAGATTTCCATATAGATTTGGATTTATTGACAGATCACTTGCTTCTAAAATGTTCCCAAGAATATCAATTCCATTTCGTTCACTTAATGGTACAAAAGATCCATTTACCTGTTTTGAAGTATCCAAAGCCAACCAATAATACAATTAGAGTAAATTAGATTAATATATTTTTCAATCATCATTCTATTGTCAAAAATTTAATTGTCATCACTTAATGAATGAATAATTTGAACTACATACATTTTGCACTCGACCATCATGAATAGCCTGGAAAATTCTTTCTCGCCATCTTTCCATATCTTGCAAATCTATATATGTTTGTTCAACTGGACGTGCAATATCCTAACAACATTGGGAAAGAATGACATAACTTTTAAAACTACATTAGTGCCATATTTGTCTGTAGGAAAACTTGTATCTTATTATACTGTATTTTTACATACTCTTATGAGAGCAAATGCTTGTCGAGGTGGCCACACACGGCTAGCGAGCATACTATCAAGTTTTGGAAAATAAGCCTCTGGAATTGGCTCCCTCCAATTTATAAATCTCTGAACCAGTTTCAGTTTATTGGATAATCTTTCAAAATTATATCTGAAATAAAAATATAAATAATTAATTAATAATATTTATTAAAAGAATAAATTCTGTTAATGTAATACATTTTATGGATAAATCTTTTAAAAAAATATGACAGCAACAAAAAAGAGTTTAGAGTCACGATTGTTCAAGAAGTGGAATAGAAGGCAAGAAAATTGCAATAGAAATTGACTTTGATGAACAGATCTTCAAAGCAGAAATAAAATATCAATGTAACAAATTAGATTTATTGATACAATTACAAAGATAAAAAGTCCAGAAGATTCAAGGAAATGCTTTGGAAACTAAGGCACAAGGAAGAAATCAAATGAATGCTTTAGGAAACTGGGCTACAATAAAGCAAGAGGGATCTAAAAGTATGAAAGAAGAAAGATTTATCAACAAGTTAATAATCAAATATCTCAAAAAATGATTTTCCATCTTGATAGTTGTTTTAGCATAGTTATTTTCTTCTTCTTTTTTCTCTCTTCAAGGCAAATACTGAAATTATTCTTTTCAAACAGAGACTTTATCTAACTTCCACAGCAACAAATAGGGATGAATCATTAAAGTTCCCTTTCTAGATTTAATAGGGTACATTTTTAACAAAATATCAATAAAAAAGTGGCCTGTGTTCTTCTTAAAATAAACAATTAAAAGTTTCATTCACAATTTAAAGTTTCACACTACTTTCTTGGTATCAAATGCTTACAAAGGGTCCAGATGAGATGGGTGAGTCAACTATAACAAATATCAAAACATACACCCCTTTCTAAAAAGAAAGTGTATCTTGAAGAGTGATGAGTGATGTGATTCTCAGGAAAAGGCAGAATAGTGTCTTGATGGTGTAATCAAAAAATTATTATGAAAGAGTTACAACTAGTAAATGTCTTGAACATGATTTTTCAATTTCTTAAAAATTCGTATTTAACATTCCTTTATTAACTAGCTGATTTCCTGGTGTATTTATTCATCACAATCATCTAATTAAGATCCACTGACTTACAAGTACCACTGACTCACATTGCTTCGCCCCTCATGCTCTCTCGACATGCCTTTCCCACCCAGTCTGTCTCATTCATTCCACCCACTCCACCTCACCAGTATTAGATATTGCAGTTTGCATAAAAGTTTTGTTCATATTGATAATGACATAATTATGGTATGATAAATAAATAAAAATATTGCAATGATGTTTAGATCTTCACTGAATCATTGAAGCCTGTACAGGATATGATTTTGGAAATGTTATCCAATTTTATGAAATTAAGATTAAAAAATACTTGAAAATCAAAGAGATCAAATAAAATCTGTCTTCTGTGTGGGTAATTGCAATAAACAAAATTAGTGTTTGTGGTCTCCTTTTCCTACCTGGCAATAATCTGTTGGTGCATGTAAAAAAATAACTCTCCCCTTCTGTCTTTGTCTACAACCTCCCTTGGTCCTTCAAATGGATATACAAGATGCCAATTCCAATGGTGAAGATTGATACCAACATCCTCTCGGAAGTAAGCAACACGATGCTCTACATCTAAATCAGTTCCAGTAAAGTCCATTGGGATTTCTATAGGCATCTAAGGGCAGAAACAAAAAGAAGTAATGTTAATGTATGCATCATGCTGAACTAATAGATTTTCCTATTGGTTAGTTACATAGTTAGGATAGGGCTAGGAGGATAAAGTCACTCCTAAAGTAAAAACAAAAAAATCCCAATTGATGTAGGTGATCAGTTCTGTTGATGCCTTTTGGGAGATGCGTATGTCAAGTGAACTAAATTTACATCTCGTAAAAGAAATGAAATTTTGTTTAAGAAAAGTCTCCATTAAAGTAATTTTGGTTTTTGTGTCAATTGTTCATTTTTCAAGTTCCCCTTGAAACAAGCAGTAGAACTGAGTAAGGTGTTGAGATGTTCAGAAAGAATGACAAATGAAATGCATATGTTAAAGAATAAAAATGAGACAACTGATATATGTAGGAATAACATTTAGAATATGACCATGCTGAAAAGTAATCTAAATAATTTTTAAGCATTTATTACTTGATAATGCAGAATTTTTTATTCGAATAATGGAAATAAAAACAAAAAATAGTAGAACAGTGTAAAATGTATGTGTACGTCCTATAAAAAATTCAACTTTGGTATTGATACTTGGGGTATCAATAAATTTTAAGGGTGAAGAATTGTGTTTGAAACGAAATTAAAATTGAAACTTCTTACATATTCTGATCATCTGTTTCAGATGCGTTATTTTCAAAGAATTATGATCGGGAAATAAACATTGAAACTACTCACTCGAACTCTCTGCTCATCTGTGATGGGTGCATTTGTTCGTTCTTGTAATTCTTTAGCTATACCACGAGCACTGAGGAATCTTCCTGGATTAATGCAAGCAAAATTTGGTAGAGCCTGATTTCGAGTGTCATTACGATGAAGAATTGCTACAGAATAAGCATAGCTCACAAGCAATGGATTCAAAAGACTACGGCAATATACCACTGTTGTGACAAAATCTTCATACTTCTTCAGACCTACAAACAAACCAAATAATGCATTTAAGATTATGTTTCAATATCTTGAATTCATAATAAAAATATAAAAAATAAATATTGTAAATACATACATGCATTAAAAATTGTGTATTATTATATTTTTGTTCATACAATCCAATCAAATTATATATATTGTTTTCACTTAAGCACATTGACATTTGGGTTTTTAAAATACCAGTTAAGTACAAACATCCAACTTTACTGAATATATTTTGCTTACATATCCTGAACATCTTAAAGTATTGCTGGAGTTTGCATTCATACAACTATTTTCTAACGTAATTTCAAGCCTAGTTAATTACAATATTGGGTGAAGAAGGGTAAAAGTAATTTTGTGTGGTTGTGATGGTTAATAAATTTCTGGTGGTGAAGGATCCATATGTAGTCTGAATTTTGAATTAGCTGTGAAAATGGACCTAATGACATGGACACCCTTTTCTCGACATTTTTCATTTGCAATCTCAGTTTTATGGCCAGAATTAATCATTCATCAAAGATCTAAGACCATAAGGTCTTAGATTGTTCAGTCATAGATGCTTTCAGTGATTCTAAGGGGTTATTTATAAACCATTTCAGATACAGGAACTCAAATATATTTTACAGAATAATTGTTATCTTGGTTCAGACCAAAATGTCTGAAATATTTAGTTTACTGATTTAATTTTTAAGATTAATTTTTCTTCCCTGTTAATGCAGTATTTAGAAACAGGTGGTGGGGAAGAGTGTTGAAAAATTAAAGGACTTGATGAAATGCATATGATCAAAGTAATCTAAATAATAAAATCAATTTTTATCACATTCAATTTTTAATGTATTTCCAATTAATATTTTTTTCCACTTCACAAGTTCATTAATGTTTAAATGTAGAGAGTTCAGATTAGCTTGATATTTCTTTTTATGAAATGCTATGCATTTTCTATGTTAGAGGAACAAAGAATCTTTACTCCTACTTTTTAAAAACAAAATTTTTGTTGAATGTAATTGCAATAAACTATGTGAGATAATAATACAAATGTTTTTGTACAAGTTTTCCTGTTTTTTGTATTCAATGAGTGAAAAGTAAAGAATTATTTTCAAGTGTATAAATTATAAACTGTAGAAGCAACTGAATTAATTTACAAGTTGCACATTATACCAACTAAAGAGTAACTTTAAGAAAGAATAAGGGTAAAATAAGACAGGAAATTGGAAAGAAAGACATATGAAAAATTAAGTTAATTTTGTTATGAAAATAGTATTGGGTTTTTCTCTTAATTTATAAACATATTTCACTTCACATGTTTCCTTAAATACACTTACCTACAAGCACATCAATAAGTCTTGCAGCCATTTTTCGATGCATTGGAATGAAGAGAGAAAAAGGTTCATTACGTCTAAGTTGAATTGGTAGAGATAGGTCTGGAATTTTAGTGTTGTTTGGTATAGTGACTTGAGGTGAAGTACCAAAACGATTTTCTAGGGTAACATTTCTGTAGGTCGTGGGCTGTAGCAAATTATAATAATAGCAAATTGTAATTAATAAAGTAATATTCAATAAAGCAAATTATTTTGATATGCATAATATTTTATTTCATTTCAAAATTATTTTATTAATGGCAGTAACAATCTAGACCAGCATTTCTCTTCCAATCTAATAAAGTTTATATTTGTAATAATTATTTATGTCATTATTCCAACTGTAAAGTGTCAAATGCAACAACAAATATATATTTCAAATATATATTCAAGTCTCCTGAAAATTATCTTATTTACCTAGATCTTATTTACATACGTACATTTAATAATAAAAATGGACTAAATCATTGTGTATCATATGAAGGTAAAATACTTCTCAAAAATGAACTGTCTTCAGCAGTAATATTTACTTGTCTTTCCAAAATTGGTCTTTCCTTTGAGAGATATTGGCTAGTGAAGTTAGAAACTAAGTAAAACTTCTTATTGAAGGATGAAGTTAAAGTTTTAATTTTATTATCTTAAGCCTTATGAAATGTAACCAATCAATAATCATATTGAGTACTTGAAAATTAATTACTACTAGTTTATTTACTAAATGAAATAATTGGCCATTCCTAAATAATACATAAATGTTATTAAGAGACATCTGATTGTCTTTTGGTTTCATGTTATTTGGAGGCAGTTGAAGTATCAAAATCTTTATGATTTTTATGTATATCTTGCGAACTAACCGAGTCTCAATCAAAAGTGCACGAAGCAGATTACGCTGTTCATTAGACACTACCCAGTAGGGATAAACTTACATGACTAGCTTGAAAGTTTTTTACTTTTCAATCATTTTACACATTAACTCAGATAATTTGATATTAAAAGGAAAATAATATTCAATAAAAAACTTGAAATTGTCTTCAATTTTTTAAATTTAATACTTAGCTGAAAATAAATTATAAAATATCTCATGCCTCTCTTAATGGCAATATTTCTCTTTAAATTGTGCAATCCAATGATGGTAAATCTTCATTATAAATTTGGTTGTTTGACATGTAATTAGTTTGCCTCTCTTAATGCCTCTTTTAATGGCAATTTTTCTCTTTGAATTGTGCAATCCAATGATGGTAAATCTTCATTATAAATTTGGTTGTTTGACATGTAATTAGTTTAGAACACTGAAGAAACTTCAATAATTCGTGATCACAACGACTTAGTAGAGAAATGCTGAATCAAAATCTAACTATTTGCTTACATTATTGATGATGTTTAGAAATTTCTCAGACTTAACAAGCTTACAAGAAGAAAGAAAAAACTCATGAATAAGATTTGGAAATAAGATTTTTCAACCTTTTTTATTTGAATGTCGAAGTGAAATTGAAGATCAAATAATGCATTTCTCTTCTGTTATTTATTTTTAGATTTCTATAAATAAAATTGTGTTGTGCAAATAATTATATATTGAGATATTTTTTCTATTTACCAGGAAATTTGGTGGCACATTGAAACGAATATTTCCAATGGCATTTACCAATGGTTCACCAGGTCGGTCAAATAGAGCAGATAGAATAGATCTGTCAGTCAGTTGGATTTGTTGCTAAAACAAAAGATGGTTAATGTAATGTTAGTTTTATAATCTGGTAGTTTATTTTTACTATTTGTAATAATAATTACATAATAATTACAAAAACATTAATTACATTTTTAATTTAATTTTTTTATTTATATAAAAATTAAGTTGTGGAATTGACTAAGTATGCATACTTTTTTTTAATATTAAGAAAAGAACATGTTAATAAATTTAATGAAAAATGTTTGCCTCAACTCCCTTCTGTATTTACTAGCAATTATTATTACTACTACTATTGATTATTATCAAAACATCAAATGTGCTTTTTTCATCTGCTTTGCTTCTCATTCTTTCTCCATGTACACTTACTTTGAGCAAACCATTTTATACTTTTTAACACAATGGTAAAATTTAAGTACATCATATTTTTAATTATTCTTCAAAGCTGATTTATCTGCGCATGTATTCAAGTCTGAGTGGGTATGCCTTAGGGCAATTATTATTTGAGGAAGATTGAAATTTCTTTGATCTCCGTCGTTATATTTAAAATAAAATGAAAAATGTGAAGAAAGTGAGGGAGACGACTTTTCAAGTCCCGTACATGTTATATCCCGGAAGGTGGTGATATTCCTCCCTTACTAAAAACAGATCCGGTGCCGACTTTCACATCGGTTGATTGATTAATATTTTCGAACATATCAAAACTACGTTAATTAGTCCCGTTAGTATTGTGAATGTGTTTATCCCCCGAGGTGGCGATCCTCCTCTGCAGGATGGTGAGATCCGCATCGACCTATGCGTTGCGGAGTTTCCTCCTCCAGGTATCTCCCACTGGGCACCGCCCTCGCTGGAACAAGCTGAAAGCGCGCGACTGGTCTTCCGTCATGTTTGACAGTGTACGGTAGGGTGTGCGTACGAGCCCGCGCGCGTGTGCGTGCGTTAAAGAGATGAGATGAGGATAAGAATGAGGAAGAGAAAATCGCGCGTGGTCCGAAGTATGTTTGGTAGAATAATGCTCCGGCATTCACCTAGTATTGATCAGAGATACCACGGAAAACTACCGATCAGACAAGCTGGTTGCTAAAATTCTCATCCAGAGTGGATGAACTCGATCTAGCTACATTGGCAAGTGTCGAAAATTCCACCTTCGGGGCTCGAACTTAGAACTTCCAGGTTAGAGTCCCTCCAGTGTCAACATTTGTTGCCCTAAGCTAACTCAGCCGGTCTTAGCAGGTAATTAAATACAAATAAATATGTATTAAAAGAGCCTACCTTGGACTACAACTGACATTTTTTCAGGTAAAAATATTTTTCTTAAAATAAAGATATGCCGTGGAAATGAGAATTATACGACATTGATACTCAAATCGACTCTCATAGATAGACGTACTCCTATGCCGACTACCACTATGTTTTTGCTTCACACAACAGTGGTTACCTCATAATGAACTAAACATACTCCAAATTGCTAGATTTTATCTTGCAGGATCCTATTGTAGAGCGAGGGAATCAAATAGCCCATACGCATGGCGTATTTACGTAAGAAATGAGTCTACCTTCTTATGAGCTTTATATTCAATTTATAAGTAATTGAAAATGTTTTTGAAATAACAGTCGTACATCTTACTGCGCTGTAAATTATCTTACTTTGCACCTACAAACCTCCAACAATGCTAGCTTTAGATTACTTCAGTTTTTTTTAGAAAATGTAGACATAAATCTGAACAAAAATAGTAATCGCGCTTTTGTATCCATGATGAATGTGGAGATTTCAATTTTTTCCCTGGCGAATTTCACGATAAAAAGCAGTTTCTTAATTTGCTTCATTTTTTTAATTTCGATATTACAATGATTGTACCTTCACGGAATACATTTAAATAAGAACAGGAATCAATAAAATAATAAACAAAACCACAACTAGATATGAAATAAGAACGAACGATCTATTTTTTAATAGGTTACAGTGACTACGATACATTAGTTCTTACAATTAGTAGTAACTTGGAACGCTGGCATTAAATAATACACGCATGTGTAAATTATTTACTAGAGCTACATAAAAAAAGATAGCGAATCATAATAGTACATAATTTGAACGTCTTAATTCTGATGAGGTATGGGAAATTGAGTAAAATTACTGAACTTTATAATTGTTTTGGTAATATTTGAAGAATGTCTATTTCGTTGTCTACGTGTATTATACGTTATTTGCTCGCCGAATATTCAATGTGATATTTAATCTTAGTGGAACTTAAAAGAATCCACAGTCAATTTTTGTCATTTTGAATTCATAAACGAGGAATATGTTATTAGAAATTAGTTAGAAAACGGAGTTAATAGAAAACAGAGTTGAGTGGGTTTGAGACAAGCTATTAGTCTCCTTTATTATTATTATTATTATTATTATTATTATTATTATTATTATTATTATTATTATTATTATTAGCCCGTTAATCCCTAATAAGGCAAGAGACTCTTGTACAGGGCAAGGAGGCATACATTATAAAGTTGGTCCTCGAGCAGACACCTCGAGGAATAATAACCCTACCCAAATGTAACGAAAAACACCATGTAAAATGTGAGCTAATGCACTGACACATTTCGCGTAAAAATGTGAGATGAAAAGAATTTCACTGTATGCAAAATGTAGGCATCGCAGTTGGACAACACTAATGTATTAGCTTTTTAAAGAAGGGCGATTTTATTTTAGATATCTTTGCATTCAAAGTCGAGATGAGAATACATAATGCATTCATATATGTAGAAGTGTATGCCTCATTTATGAATTTTCAGACATTTTATACCAATAAATGTTTTATTTTGGAAAATAAAAGGGTTGTTGAAAAATTAATGATAACAGTCTAACGACAGGCGAAAATGTATAAAATTGCGTTCATCATATTAATAAAGCAAGAATAAAGATTAGAAAAATGTAGTAGTTATAAATGTGTTAGTATAGCTGCAAATACAATTATATTCACCGAATGACACGAGTTAGAGGCAGTTAAAAGTCAAGAATTAATAATTAACGAATGAAAGTGTGAGGTGTGACAGCGCGGAAGTTTAAAAAAAAAACCTATTCTAAAGGAATAAAATAATTCTGTGTTCTAGATACGATGAAATTAAAACTTTATTACTCGACATTGATTATTACTTTAGGTGGTACAACACAACATAGAGTAAGTGCTTTGTAACTAGTATTTTCAACTGTATTAAAGTTATAATCATGTATTAAACTTTTATAATAGTCATATTTCAATCACTTCTTGCAGAACACTCTTCAGTCAACTGTTTGAAACACAGAACACAACGTACATTTCCTAACATTATACCAAGAACCGCGTCATAAAGAATATTAACATTTTGCTGCACACATGCTAAAAGTCCAACACAATTTTTCAAACAAACAGACACGTAGTTTTTTAAAGAAACACTTTTCAGCATTAGGGATCCTCTACAAGTGTGTTTATGACATCTCGAGACAGATTTATTGCACGCTTCCGCAACTTCCTCAACACTTCGTTTACAAGAAAACCAAAATGTAAATGCGTGTCGTAACTAAATACGTGCCTTTGATCATACACGCCAGCGATATATTTTTAAAAACGAACAAACCTAGAACGCAAATTAATGAATGGCTGAATCAGAGGTTTCGTGGATTAACGAGCTTGTAATTGAAGGATGGGCTGGGCGAGGTACTCACAGCGCGAACACCGGCCGTCTGCGCTACCAAAAGGAGAGCCGCCGCCGCCGCCACCGTCGCCACCGTCGCCATGACTGCTGTCTGCTGGTGCTTCCTCGGCGCGTACGCTTTATTCACGGTTGCATGCGCTCCGCCCCACCACCCTTCTCCCAGCCGCCGCGTCGCGCTGCACAGTCCCTCGGCGATGGGACGTCAATCTCCGACAGCCTCAGGAACGTCACTCTTCAGAGCCATAGCAGCCGACCCTCCCCCCTCCCTCATTAATGGCGTTGCTGCCAGGTGACACCTCGCAGAACCATTAGAGTCTTTAAAGACATTATAGATGAGACACATGGAGTGGGGAGCCTCTGACCGGGGAATCATGGGTTCGGGCCCCGACCGTGGCAGGATTTTCGACACTGGCTAGATAGCTGGGTCGAATTCAGCCGCGGCCTGGAGGAGAAATCTAGCGGCCGGCTGTTCTGATTGGTAGATTTACTTAGTTTTTCCGATCAAAACCAGGAGAATGCAAGAGTAGTGCCCTAACAAACGGGCGAAGGATCGCGCGTGATCTTTCCTTCCTCTCTTCAATCATTCCCCTACGTACACATATCTACAGTTACATGCTACAGTTTCACTACCACGCATGACGTGGGACCAATCGGAAGCTTACGCTTTTTCTAGCAGGGGCGGTGCCCCGCTGTGGGGAGGTACTGCAAGCCGACGTGTAGGTCGGCGCCTGATATCACCATCCAGCTGGGAAGAACACTGCCACCTCGCGCGTTAACAAATGCTTTACACTTACGGAACTAAAGGCCATAGCAGCTAACACGAAACAATCAATCTTAGGATGGAGGATGTAGTCCATCTCTACCCCCTGCGAGAGGAAGTTCAGGGCAGTCCCGACGGCAGGATTTACGACACTAACTTGTCAGCTAGATCGAATTTAGTTCCTGTGTGGAGGAGAATTCTAGTGGCCAGCTATTCGGATCGGGAGTTTTCCGTGGTGTTTCCGTTTAACACCTGGCGAATTCCGCAGCAGTACCCTAACAAACGGGCCACGGACCACGCGCGATCTTTTCTTCCCCTTCCGTGTCATATCCTCCCCTTTTACTTACACACACATACACACGTACATGCTCTGCACTACCACACATATTGGGAGTCCTGTCGAAAACCTAGAGCTTGTCCAGGCTGGGGAGATGCTCCGCTCGTGGGAGTTACCTGGTTGGGGAATATCCCGCTAGCCGACAAGTAGGTTGACGTTGGATCTCGCCATCAAGCAGGGGAAGACAACAGCAACCTCACAATGGAAAGAACACACACTACACTTACGAGAGTAATGACTTTAGCAGTTGTCGCGCCCGAAATCACTAACAATCAATCAATTAATCATTCTTCCCCCTGAGAGAGACAAGGGGTGATAGAGGTGTGTTGTGTCAAAGTATCTTGAGATGCAGTGTGGACATCGATGAAAGAAACAAGATCCACATGTACTCTTTACGTATAGCGCTATCACGGCGTAAAAAATATGCATCAAGTAAAATGCTATTTCCCACTGTTGTATATTTAAATTGATTTATTTTTAAACTTAACTTTCCATATTATTATTTCATTCCTGTCACACATGTGTGATGGATTCTACATTTTTAATGATTTAATTCCGACTATTTGAGTTGCCGGTTAACACTACATTTCAGTCAAAATTTTACATATAATCTGTTCTCTATTTTTCAATCACTTGATTTTATACACCTGGATTCGTCACATAATACTCTTACCTTCATATTTCTGACTATTATAATGTGACGTGTCGACTCTGTGCACAGAGTCGAATTCCTGAAATTATTGATGAGATTGGTCGCTTGGGATGTATATATCCTTTTATTAATATTTCTATGGCAACACTATTATCATCCTTGTTTTACCTGTATAATAATAGGACTTTATTTGACATAGGATTTACATTTCTATTAGTCTTTGATCTCACTGATGGTTTAATTT